TCTAGCGGCCCCGGCGCGGCGGGGAATCCCTGTTGCGGCGCTCTCTGGGGCCAAGGGGCCTTCCTCGGCCGGTCCCGTGAGCGGGGCGGGCCGCGGGCAGCTCTGGCACGGTCGCAGCCTCCCGCTCGCCCGTGACTCACCCGCGAGGGGCGGGGGAGGGGGGCTTCCTGGAAGCCGTGACGAGGAGGCTCAGCCCGGACGCCCGGGTTCCTCTCGTAACCAGGGCTCCCATCTCCTGTAAACACAGCCCCAGGACTGGGGCGGGGGTGGAGGACAGGGGACCCGAGGCTCCTGCCTCCACGCTGGCGCCCAGTCCCGCGCGGCTGCGGTGCGTGTGCCCGCGCGAGGTGGGGGGCGCTGCGCCCCGGGGTCCTCGGGGCCGGGCTGGGCTCTGGCCGCGATCCTGGAGGAGGGATTCCAGTTTCGATTCCTTGGAGACAGGGAACATTTCCCATCCTTGAGTCAGTCTGGCCCCCTCCCCTCTCTCAACTGCTGAGTCATGGGCCTCAGCGCTGGACGGTGGGGACCCGACCCCTCTTGAGGAGTCTGGGGGCCGGCGTTGGTGCGCGAAAGGACCGACTCAAACCCCGTGGACTCACGCAGCGAGGCCTCCGCCTCAGCTTGCTAGTTATTCCAGGCCCAGCCCCTCCTCCCTCAGACCCAGGGGTCCAGGCCCAGCCCTCCTCCCTCAGACCCGGGGTCTAGGCCCAGCCCCTCCTCCCTCAGACCCCGGGGTCCAGGCCCAGCCCTCCTCCCTCATACCCTGGGTCTAGGCCCAGCCCCTCCTCCCTCAGACCCAGGGGTCCTGACCCAGCCCTCCTCCCTCAGACCCCGGGGTCCTGACCCAGCCCCTCCCTCACACCCAGGGGTCCAGGCCCAGCCCTCCTCCCTCAGACCCCGGGGTCCAGGCCCAGCCCTCCTCCCTCAGACCCCGGGGTCCAGGCCCCAGCCCTCCTCCCTCAGACCCCGGGGTCCAGGCCCCCACCCTCCTCTCAGACCCGGGAGTTCACGCTCCTGCCCCGCCTCCCTCAGGGCCCGGAGTCAAGGTCGCCCCCCCACCCCGGGCCTCAGCGTCTCAGACTAGAAGGAAGTTCACGGCGGGACTCCTCCCCACGCCCCACGTAGCCAGCGGGAAAATCCGCGGCTCCAGCAGCGGCCGGGAATCCCCTGTGGAATGACGGTGGGAAGGGGGCGGCCTGGGTCCCCGCGGGGCGTGCGCGCCTGCTGCAGGGGTGCGCGCCCGCTGCGGGCCGCGGAGGGGGGCAGGGAGAAGGGGGCGGAAACCAGAGAAGCTAAAAATACAGCGAGCACTTCCGGCCCGTGGGGGGGAGGGGAACGGAGAGCAGAGTTTCCAGAAAAACAAGCGGGGACGGGAAACGCGGGGGTGTGAGAGCCGGTGCGAGCGCACGGGCGAGCCGGGGGCCGTGTACTCGCGCGGCACGTGTGCGCGCCTGGCGGCGTGGTCTGGGCGAGGGCCGGCCGGCCGGCGTGTGGAGCGTGGAAGCAGGCCCCTGGGGGCGTGATGTGCGGGGTGCCCGGGCAGGGGTGTGCAGGGTTTCCCCGGGTGATCGGCCGTGCCGCGTGTGCCTTAGGCGTCCCGGGGAATGGGTGTGTGGGGAGGACTCAGTAAGTGCCCTGCTGCTGTGGCTGCGGCGGCCGTGGGGAGGACGCTGGCTTCCGTGCCCACCTGCACATCCGTGTGCAGCTGTGACCACGGACGGATCCGGAGTGACTCAGCGTGTGTGACCGCGGGCAGGTGCCTGGCCCGGGGGGAGGCCGAGGGGCTGCACGCAGCAGCTCTGAGGCTGGCGGTGGCAGCCGGAGCCCTCGGGTGTGTGATTGGTGTTCACGTGCGTGTCTGTGTCGTTGCTTGCGTCTGGGAGCCCGCATGCGCCCGAGAAGGCGGCGGGCCCGCGTCTGTGTGGCCCAGTCACAAGGCAGTGGAGCCGGTGAACTTTGGTTTCTGACGTGAGCTGCGCGTGATGTGGAGGGTGGCTGGCGTGACCCCCCTCCGTGTGGCTGTTTGAGTTCCGCCTCCGAGGGCAGAGCCGACGCACACTTGCACCTGAGAGGCCGGGAGTGTGCACCGGCCTTATCTGTGCCCGCTGATGAGTCTGCTGCAGATGTTTGGCCGACAGCAGGGCTGAGTCAGCCAGTGATGGGCAAAGTCTGCGATGGGTGAGAGATAGCGGGCTAAGTGGTGGTTACAGGGCTGTTTGTGGATTCGCATGGTAGGCTTGTTCCCTGTTTGTGGGACTCAATGGGATGGGGTCCCTAGGAGCAGCATGGTGGCGGATGACAGGTTCTGCTGGTCTGCTGGAGCCCAAGGGCGGCTCTGCATCCCCTGTGCTCACCAAAGCCCCACTCCTTTCCCTCCTCCCACTCCTGCCTCAGGGCCTTTGTACTGACCCTGGGTGGCCACAGCACTTACTCCTCTCCTTCAAAGCTGCTGTAAGATCACCCGACACTGAGGCTTCCTTGACCTCTGTGAAAGATTAGAAAAATCCATATTAAAAGAAAACTTGTCATTTTTTTTAACAAATCGTATTTGGAGGCCATGAGTGCTCATGAAACTTACTACCCAACGAAATTCTCAAACTGTTTTTATGAAAAAAGTTTTTTGACACCCCGCCTCCCCCCAGCTGTCACTGCCCAAATGCCTGGGCTGAACCTGAGGGCTCAATCCAGGCCTGGGGGGTGGTGGCAGGAACCCAGGGACCTGAGCCATCGCCACTTCCTGGTGGGGTCTGCATTAGCAGGAAGCTGGAGCCGGAGCCAGAGGCAGGCACAGGACTAGGCAGTCCCCCAGCTGGCTGCTTAACCATTAGGCCTGAAGCCCACCCCTGGCTTCTCCAACTTTTAATACTTTTCAATAAACCGAACTTTCTTCTCCATGTGCAAATGTTGCACTTGTTTGGATTTATTCCTCAGGGCCTTGTCTTGTCATCACCACTCTCGTCTGACCTCACTGCTCTGCCTTTGTCTGGGGACTCCTCGCAGTGTGCTATGCTGTGCTGTCATCCCACTTCAGCTCACGAGGGCATGGGCTCCAGGACCAGGGCTTGGCCTGCACACAGATGTGCGGCGTGAGTGACCACCACTTCCTGGTGCACCCCATGGTGCCTGCTAGTGTGCATCCATCAACCCATGGCCTACAGTTTCTTTCTTTTTTTTTTTTTTTTTTTGTGGTTTTGTGTGTTTTTTTAAACCTAGTTGTTTATTGGAAAGGCAGAGTGACACAGAGAGAGGGAGGATCAGAGAGGGGGATGGGCGGTGTTTCTGTCTGCTGGTTCACTCCCCAAGTGTCCACACAGCTGGGCTGGACCAGGCAGAAGCCAGAGCCCAGAACTCAGTCTGGCAGAGACCCAAATACTTGGGCCAACACCTGCAGCCCCCAGAGGGCTGTTAAGCAGGAAGCTGGAATCGGAAACGGAGCTGGGACCTGAAAGCAGGCACTCTGACACGGGATGGGGCACCTCGGACCCCGCCCTGGAGCAGCTTTAAGTCTGCTGGTTTCTGTACGCTGGGTGCTGGGACACCACGTCCCCACCGTGTGTGTTGCTGTTGTGACACTACTTTCTGGAGCCAGCTCTACCTCCATCCTCTCGCGTGTGCGCCCATGGCCAGTGTGGCCTGGGCCCCAGCTGGGACGCTGGTGGGCTCTGCTGCAGGGGTGAGGGGGTGTTGGCAAGGCAGGACTCCCCTGCCATGTTTATCTGGGTGCCCCGCTGGCAGGGGCTGGGCTGCAGTCCACTTATGTGATCAAGCTCTAGGTGTTGCTGTGCAGGCACTTCGTGGCTGTATGAAACCCCGTCACCAGCTGGCACCAGGTACGGGGGTGGTCCTAGATCATCCGAGGGGCTGGTGAAGGGCTGCCCTCGGTGCACAGGGCCTCCCGCCTGCCTTCCTGCTGCCAGCCCTCCACCCTGGCACTTCAAGCGTGGGATGCACACAAACACACACACCCTGGCCACTTCTCAGTGTGGGGCCTCGGGCTCCAGGGTCCCAGGCTTCCTTGTGGCCACGGGGTCCGGGGCAAGAAGCCACCACACGGGACCCAGGGTGGGGCAGTTCTCCAGCCAGGCTGAGTCACTTGAGCCTTTCATAGCCCGGCAGCTGGGCCTGGGCTGGAAGCTCTCCCTGTGCTTGCCCAGGCCTGAAGGCCACAGCTGAGCTCCCCGAAGAAGCCCTGCGGGAAGTGGGGAGCCTCGTGCGGCCCTCCCTTCCCGAAGCCCCCTGCCCACGGCCTGCTTCCCGGAGCTGGGTTCTTCCCAGGACTGATGATTCACCAGTGTTGGGGCCTTTTCACTTCTCCTTTGGGGCTAAAAATATAGGGACCCAGGCGTCCAGCTGGGCCAAGCCTCCCCACGGATTGCACAATGCCCTCGTCTGCGTTCTGCTGACGCAGGGTCTGGGGATGGGTGGGGGCTCGAGCTGCTCCCCAGTCAGGCTTGCTGAGGTCAGGGCCCACTTCCCACCTCCACTTCTCCTTTCCTGGGCCAGGGGCCTGCGGGCGGGGCTGCCATGGGAAGGTGCTGGGGGTCACTGGGAATGCAGTCCCTGTCCTCTGAGCCAGGAAACCAAGGGGGTTTGGTTGCCCTCATGGCCATCGGGTACCAGGAGTGAGCAAGGGGCTAAAGATGGCAACAGGGGCAGAGAGGTAAGAGACACGGAGACGCAGAGCACAGGGACAGAGAGGTGACAGATGCGTTAACAGAGGAGACACAGCACCAGTAGGAAAAGGAAAGGAGACCACCTCCCAAGTGGGCAGTCCAGGAGGCATGGGGGGAGGGGCCCAGCCATGGCACCACACCCAGGCCAGGTGGGAAGATGGCCCTGGAACCCAGAGGTCCTGGGCAGGCACGGTCCAAAGTCCACCCTGAGCCAGGGAGAGAAGCCCAAGTGGACAGAGGGAGCCAGGAGCCGCCCTGCTGGCCTCTGCTGCCCCCTGCTGTCTGCTGCAGTGCTCAGGCGGGAAGAACCAGTCAGAGACAATCTGCTTCGCTCAGGCCACTCTTCATTTCCTCCACCCCGGCCCCTCCACCTGCCCCATCCCCTGCCCTGCCCCTCACAGGGTGCCCCCGGGGCCCGTGGGCGGTGCAGGCGTCTTGCCCGTGACCTTGTTGGCGCAGTCCAGCAGGGCGGTGTGAATGTCCTTGGCACAGGCAATCTGGGCTTTGATGACCGCCAGGTACTGTGGGTAGGGCAGGCTGTCGGGCTGCACCGCATCAGGCTTGGTGGCCGTGGGCACCAGCGTCGGGGAGTGCTTGGCGCTGTCACAGCTCTGGGACAAGCATTCGTGTGCCAGGCGCTGTGGACAGGCAGGCAAGGGGCAGCATCAGCCTCGCTCTGGGATCTTCCAGTCCCCTCCCCCCTGCCAAGGGCCAGCCTGCGGGGCCTCTGCACTCCCAGGGTCTCGGGGTCACAGCCTGCTGCTGACGGTCACTGCAGGGGGGGCCCAGGCATGCAGCTGCTCCTCTCTGGGCCTCAGCTGTCTGTCACCACCTCTTCCCCCTCCTAAGGTGATGAGGTGAGCAGAGGTAAGCACTTCAAGTGCTAACTGACGGATGTTCCCTGCTGTCAGGCGCCGTTGCTACTGGCCAGGCCCCTGCCTCTGCTCCTCGTTCCACCCGATTCTTCAGGCACTTCTCAGCCTACCCAAGACTTCCGTGCAGTGACGCCCAGGCCCTGCCAGGGATGGCCAGACTCACTCCACTCCTCTCCCAACTCCGTGTACCTGGTGGCCCAGTCTTTGTCCCCAGCCTCCCCTGGCGCTCCTGGGCCCTCATGCTTTCCCCACCTGAATCCTGTCTAAGGGATGTCCCAGTGTTTAACCAGAGCCCTGGGTCTCCTCCTGGAAACTCCTGCCCAGTAGCACATCTGTCCCACGGCCTGATGGAGCCTCCGGGTTCCCAACTGCTCCCGCCCTGCCCCTTCGGGTCCTGCCCTGGTGGAGTCTAGTTCCAGCCCATGGCTGCCCCCGGGCTCCTACCTCCAACCCACCCCTCATCTGCCAGCCATTTATTCTTAAAAAGCAAACGAGTCCCCGTTCTTTACCTGAAAGCTGACTCCCCAGTGTCCTTGGGGTTTCATTCAGAATCCAACAGGCTCCAGTGCTACTACCCCTCAGCCAACTGAACTTCCTGACATCCCTAACCTGGCTTCCTTCAAGACCTAGGCCAGGGCCGGCGCCGTGGTGCAGCGGGTAAAGCCACTGCCTGCAGGGCCAGCATCCCATATGGGCACTGCTTCAAGTCCTGCTGCTCCACTTCCGGTTCAGCTCCCTGCTGTGGCCTGGGAAGGCAGCAGAGGACCGCCCAAGTGCTTGGGCCCCTGCACCCGTGTGGGAGGCAGGAAGAAGCTCCTGGCTTCAGATCAGCCCAGCTCCGCCTGTTGCCATTTGGCCATTAGGGGAGTTAACCAGCAGATGGAAGATAACAAACTCCCTCTGCTTCTCCTTCTGTAACTCTATCAAATAAATAAATACATCTTTTAAAAAAATCCAGAATAACGATGATGAAGGTAATACTCCGGGAAACCTGTGCGCGTGCCTGGGAATGCCTCAGTCCTGTATGCGTGTGACCATGCTGAGTTTTTCCCGAAACTCCACCTTCCAGAGGAGGAACCCAAGCCACAGAGGCCGCCTGACTCCACTCGCCCTCCTCTCAACTCCCGCTCCTCTTCCGTCCTGAGCTCCCACAGCCCCCTCTGCCTCCTCCCTCCTTGCCCTGTGCTCCCCTGCCTGTGCCTCCCCTCCCTCCCCAGCCACGGCCACTCTGGACTGGGCTTCGTCCGTCACAGCCCAGCCACTCTGAGCTGTCACTGCTCTGAGGGTGTATCTGTCACCCGCTGGACAGCCAGCTCCCAGAGGGCATGACCAGGGCAACACCGTGTCCTCAGCGTTGGCTGGGGTGCAGGGCTGATCTAGGGAGCGTGAGCTGACTGACTGGGGGAGGGTTCCTGAAGACCAACCCCCCCCCCCCCCGACTGAGGCAGGGCTGCGGTCCCCAGTGTCCATAGGTTCTTACCAGGCAGAGTTCCAGCTGGTCACAGAGCGCGTAGAACTCCTCCAGGCACTTGTCAAAGCGCTGGATGGGTCCGTCACTGCTCTTTCTACAGCTCAGGAGAAAAAGGTGGCTGAGGAATGGGTCTCCAACCTCTGGAAAAGCACTGTCTAGGCCCCCAAACGCCCGTCAGGCAACCAGGGACAGGTGCAGGAAGTCCCAGGCAGGGCTTGGAAATGGGGGGGGGGGGGTGAGAGTGCAGGGGTGGAGACAGGAGACAGGGTATTCTGGGGAAGGGGGCCGCACTCACTGTCCATTGTCAATGTTAGTGTTTTGAATCAAGTTCTGGGCTGCAACCTTCATCAGGGTCTAGTTAAAAAACAGAAGAGGATGCCTTAGGTAGCTGAGATCCAACCCCGCTCTGGCTCCTCCCCTGCCGACTCGGAACACTGCTCATTTCCAGTCCCACAGCGACCCTCCCCGCCCTCCCCGGGGGCTCCGTCCTGTAACCTTCCGGAGTACCCTCGCCCACGCCCCACGGGCAATCTGCATTCAGGCGTTAACGACCCGAGCCCGCTTCTCTCGGGCTCCCTCCCGCTCGGCCTCAACGTCTACGTTAATCCCACCCGACACTGTCACTGCGCACAGCCTAGCTTTGGCCTCACAAAAAGCAGGTCTTTCGCTGCCTGCGCGCTCTCCCCGCCTGAACGGCCCCCGGGAGTCGGGAAAGCAAAGCCGCTGCGCCCCGCGGCCCCAGGCGGTCACCTGCAGACTCTCCTTGAGCTGCGGGATGAGCATCTTGTAGCGCTGCACAGGGTCGAAGTCCTGCTGCTGCTGCTGCAGTAGGCCGCTCTGCGACGAGCCCACCAGCTGTGCCGGCGGCGGCGGCTGCTGCTGGGGGCCGGGGCCGCCAGCCGACCCTGGGCCCGATACACCAGCGGCCGAAGACGCCCCCGGAGCCTGCTGCTGGGGAGCAGCCATCTTCGTCGCTCAGAGCGCCGGAAGTGCGTCACACGTGCGTCGCCATCTCTAGGCTGCGTCTGCTAGTTAGCACCGCCTCCCAAACAAGTCAGCCAATAGGAGGAAAGGAGGTACCTCGTCTTCCAGCGCCCTCAAACCCAACGCCCAGATTGAAAAAGCCTTCCACCAATCACAGGAGGCCTTTCTTACATCGCTCCGCCCTTCACCTAAGCGCTCGCCAATCCGTGCGTGGCGTGGATTCGGACTCTATTTCCCCGAAGGCCTCGCGGCCTGAAGTGACCTGTCGGGTCCTCAGCGCCCAGGCGGCGGTTGGGAGAGCCGGAGCTGCGAGTTCGTCCCCGACGCTGCCTGCGCGTTTCCCTGAGGCTCGCCCGGAGCGGTTCTCGTCAGGCCGCCTCCCCGCGACACTCTCCTCGCAGACAGCGGAGCCGCCCCGGAGCCCTGCCTCAGAGCCGGCGTCTCGCGATCGGCACGCCCCTCCGCGTCTCCCGGCGGCGCCGCGAGGACCCCGTGAGGGCCGCCGGCGCCTGGTCGCCATGGCGCCCACCATCCAGACCCAGGCGCAGCGGGAGGATGGCCACAGGTAGGCGCCACGCCGCCGGGCTGCACCGCTTGCGTCTGTCCGCCTGGCCTTCTGCTGCGCAGGGGATCGGGCGAGGGGGCTCTGCTGACGACGTCACCGGCTCCGGCCCGCCGTGACGTCACGGGGCGCGCAGCCTGCACGGAGGGGCGGGTTCCATCTGGGGCTCAGGGGTTGCGCGCCCTCCCTGCTCGCGGCTCGGGGATTCATCTCGATGGGGCGTTTGGAGACCCCTCCGAGTACGCGGTTCATTAAAAGCACTTGGAGGCGTCTCCCCCAAAAGCGACCGAACACGGGGCCCCGTTCCCTGACGTGTTTGGGGGCGCTTTTCCCACGGGAAGTCGGGTAGTTGGCCCCCTCGGGAGCCGGGGCAGCCCGGTCAGCAGGCGGCAGCGTCTGTCACCTGTTAGCACTGCCCCGCACGCCCACCCTGCCCGGCGTCCTAGCAAAGCCTCTCTCTCTTGCCCTTCAGGCCCAATTCCCACCGGACTCTGCCTGAGAGGTGAGCCCCTCTCTGCTTCCTCCGGGGGCTGGGGTGGCGGGGGCTGCAGCCGAGGCGGGCCCCCAGGTTCTGAGCCGTTGTGTCCCCAGGTCTGGAGTGGTCTGCCGGGTCAAATACTGCAACAGCCTCCCTGACATCCCCTTCGACCCCAAGTTCATCACCTACCCTTTCGACCAGAACAGGTGAGAGCGCGCCGGGGGGCCGGGGGGCCGGGGGACCGAGGGACGGGGACTCGAGATGGGAGTCCTGGAAGGCAGGGCTTGTCGTCTTTTGGCTGCCTCTCCCAGGCCCCGGGCGCGTGCCTGCCTAGAACTTCGGAGCCCCGCCCGGCAGTGTCTTGGGTCCCTTCAGACTCCCACGTGTCCCCACACCGAGTTCCTCTCGGGAAGCAGGGGTGTGAGGGGGAAGCTGGAAACCAGCGGGCGTGTTTCTCTCACCCAGGTTTGTCCAGTACAAAGCGACTTCCTTGGAGAAACAGCACAAACATGACCTCCTGACGGAGCCAGACCTGGGGGTCACCATTGACCTCATCAACCCCGACACCTACCGCATCGACCCCAATGGTGTGTGGGGCGATGGGGAGGGTCTGCCCTGGGCCAGCCCCGGGCCTCCCTGACTGTCCCGCCTCCTCGCTCCCCTCTAGTTCTCCTAGATCCAGCCGATGAGAAGCTCTTAGAAGAGGAGATTCAGGCCCCCACCAGCTCGAAGAGGTAGGGCTCCAAGTGGGTACTGCGGCCAGGCTCAGATGGGTCTCCAGGCAGGAGGGTGGCGGGCTACCGAGGCACCCATTCTTATTCCAGATCGCAGCAGCACGCGAAGGTGGTGCCGTGGATGCGTAAGACGGAGTACATCTCCACCGAGTTCAACCGTTACGGGATCTCCAACGAGAAGCCAGAGGTCAAGTGAGTTGCCCATGGGAAAGGAGGGGGGTGGGTCTGAAGCTGCCCGGCCCCTACAAGGCCTCTCTCCCCACTCCTAGGATTGGAGTTTCTGTGAAGCAGCAGTTCACCGAGGAGGAAATATACAAAGACAGGGACAGCCAGATCACAGCCATCGAGAAGACTTTCGAGGACGCCCAGAAATCAGTAATTGCGGGGCTGGAGCAGGGAGAGGTACACGCAGCGTGGCCCGCGCTCTTCCTTCTCACACTGCTCTTGCCCCCACCAGATCTCCCAGCATTACAGCAAGCCCCGGGTGACACCAGTGGAGGTCATGCCCGTCTTCCCAGACTTTAAGGTCAGAGAGTGGCAGGCAGAGGGGGATGGCTTCTCACTTCTGCCCACCCCAGTCTAACCCAGGGTCCCCAACCCCCCAGATGTGGATCAACCCATGCGCTCAGGTCATCTTTGATTCAGACCCTGCCCCTAAGGACACCAGTGGCGCAGCTGCACTGGAGATGATGTCTCAGGCCATGATCAGGTTGGTGGTCCTGCTGCCCACTCTGGCCAGCGCCTCGTCACCCCTCTGTGCTCTCCCTTCACTGCCTCCTCTCTTCTCCCAACCCAGGGGTATGATGGATGAGGAAGGGAACCAATTTGTGGCCTACTTCCTGCCTGTGGAAGAGACGCTGAAGAAACGGAAACGGGACCAGGAGGAGGAGATGGACTATGCACCAGATGATGTGTACGTGGGCTGCAGTCAGGCTTGGAGGTTGAAAAGTGTGTCCCCTTTTTAGTCTCACAGGAAGCGAATGGAGCTGACGCTCTGCCCTCATCCTCAGGTATGACTACAAGATTGCTCGAGAGTACAACTGGAACGTGAAGAACAAAGCTAGCAAGGGCTACGAGGAGAACTACTTCTTCATATTCCGTGAGGGCGACGGGGTTTACTACAACGAGCTGGAGACCAGGTACTCGATATTCCTCTGATTGGCCTGGATCTGTGCTGAAAGCCCAGGGGCAGTGGAACCAGCTTCGAGGCCATTTGTAAGCAAGAGCAGCAGAAGCCTGGCCATGTGCATGGGTTGGACCTGGTTCTAACACAGGAGGCCAGAGAGAAAGTCTTCCTGCACTGCTCAACATGGCCAGTGGTCTGCCTGAGGTCAGTAAGGCTCCACGGGAAAGCAGACAAAGCCTCTGGGATACATAAAATGAGTATGAATGTTTAAATGAAGTGCCTGGGACCCGAGTTCAAAAACGTGACTCCCAGCCTTCTCCCTGATGGCTGAGGGCTCGCTGCTGTGCTGGTGTCCTTGCATGCAGGAGCTGGAGAGCATGACTTGAGTTTCTCTTTAAAGCAGAGATGACAAGTTCCAAGCCCATGGTCAGGCAGGAATTATGAAAGGCAGAGGCTGGTGGCAGCTGGGTGACCCGGAGCTCTTGGCAACTCCAAAGAGCACCACACCCAAGTCCAAGTCAGGTCCACCGTTGCTGTGCTGTGATGGCTAAGAGCTACTGTTTCCTCAAAATCCAGAAATCCAGATTTGACACTTCTTGGTCACATGCACACAAAGGGTACTTGAAAAATTCATGGAACATGGGATTAAAGTGTATTTATTTTGGTGCAAAAAAAATCTTGAAATCCATGCATATGTGGGATATCCAGAAAGTTCATGAAAAATGATTATAAAAAAATCCTATGTAGAGATTTCAATTTTTTTGTACCAAATTAACCTTTTAATTATTTCCCACCACCTTTCTGAAGGAGCTACACACACACAAAGCAGCATGTGGCATAGGGCAAACTGGTGTTTCAGGGAGCCATTCATCTTTCTCCTCCACTGCCCCCAATCCCGTGAGCTAGTCTCCCTTCTAGAGTCCGGGTTTAGTGTGGTCTGTGTGGCCACACATTGAAAGGGAAGCATGTGAGGCTGGACTCATCACTGAAGGGTCATCTCTAACGGGCATCTTCCACTGCTCCCCAACTCACCCACTCCAGGGTCCGCCTTAGTAAGCGCCGAGCCAAGGCTGGGGTGCAGTCGGGCACCAACGCCCTGCTTGTGGTCAAACACCGGGACATGAACGAGAAGGAATTAGAGGCCCAGGTGAGAGGCTCTGCCGGCCAGGGCAGTGGTGGGTGAGGAGGGACAGCTCCACACGACCCCTCCCCCCACCCCAATTCTGCTGCCTCCAGGAGGCGCGCAAGGCCCAGCTGGAAAACCACGAGCCCGAGGAGGAGGAGGAGGAGGAGATGGAGACAGAAGAGAAGGAGGCTGGGGGCTCAGGTGAGGCCGGGCACGCCGGGCACGCCAGCTCTGGGGCGCCAGTGGTGGGGTGGTGGCTCACACTCTGCTCCTGGACAGACGAGGAGCGTGAGAAGGGCAGCAGCAGTGAGAAGGAGGCCAGCGAGGACGAGCGCTCAGGCAGCGAGAGCGAACGCGAGGAGGGCGACAGGGAAGAGGCCAGCGACAAGAGTGGCAGCGGCGAGGACGAGAGCAGCGAAGATGAGGCCCGGGCTGCCCGGGACAAGGAGGAGATCTTTGGCAGTGACGCCGACTCAGAGGACGATGCGGACTCTGACGATGAGGACAGAGCACGAGCCCGTGGTGGCAGTGACAATGATTCAGACAGCGGCAGCGACGCAGGCGGTCGCCGCAGCCGCAGCGCCAGTCCCTTCCCCAGTGGCAGTGAGCACTCGGCCCAGGAGGATGGCAGTGAAGCTGCAGCTTCTGAGTCCAGCGACGCTGACAGCGACAGTGACTGAGCCCAGGGCTGGTCAGACACCGTTATCGGGAGCAGGAAGGCACTTTTCTGGTGGTCTACTTGTGAGCCCTTCATGTTGCCCCCCCCAAACCTTTACTGTAATAAAGCCGCGTTCTGACTTCCCCTCAGCCTGAGGTGCCGTTCTGGGCCCTGCTCCCCCACCCCACCCCCTGCCCGGCTGTGAGGCACAGAGGCAGAGCCACTGGGCTTCCCGTGAAATGTGGCGTAACAAAGGTCACAGTCCTTTTTTTTTTGTTTGGTTTTTTTTTCTCCAAAATAAGCCCAGACCATTAAACAAGTGAAACTCCAACAAATAAGTCTTCTCCAACAGCGAGAAAAACTGTACAGTTACTCAAAGCTGATTCTGCCAGTGGGGCTGGGGACAGAATGGGGTGGGGAGAGTGAAATCATGGAGGAGGCCTGGGGTGGGGAGTGGGAGAGGATCAGGGTCCTGCCCATCAGAGTGGGGCCGCCTGCGTCCTGCACACTCTGCTGTCAGGTTGGGGGAGGGGGCGGTTCTAGCCTCCCTGTGTGTGTGGGAGGGTGTCCCTCCCCACCTCCCAGTGCCGGGCAGGTTAGCTCACCCTGACAGGGTGAACAAGATGGGACCGGTTGGGGAGAGGTGAGGGTCCCGTAACAGGGACACCCTGCTGATCCCAAGCGAGGTGGCCCATCCATCCCATTTCCCCGCGGCAAGTGGGAGGGGACTGGAGAAGCCCTGGGAGCTGAGGGGAATGAGCAAGGCACAGAACATGGAGGGGCCGGGGTGGGGGACTTGCATAGGTTGATGAGTGTGCAAGAGGTACATAAATAAACCTGACACCCCACCCAGCCCGGCACTGGGAGAGGAGGTGGGGACCCAGAGGCAGGTCCCCAGAGCCACCCTGCCCCCTGGCTTCCTCCCCTTCCCTGGGCTCAGAGCAGAGGAAGATCCACAGACCAGGAGGACAGGGGCAAAGAGGTCTGGGGAATGGGGTGATAGTGCAGGGGTCGGGGTGGTCTTAAATTTTTTTTTTTTGGTTTTTTGTTTTTTCCCAACATTTTGTATCTTTAATAACATACACAATGGTTACCAGCCATATTCATAACAAAAGTTATTCATAAAATGTATCTAAAAATAACATTTTTTTTTTCCTTTTCGGTGTGAAAAGCTTGAGAATGTCCCAGTGAATGGGGGTGAGTTGGGGGAGTAGAGGGGGCTGGGATACGGGGACCCTGGCTTCCCCACTATCTGAACCCCCAATCCCCTCCCCCTCCACCTGGGCCCCAACACGACCTTCATTAGGAACAGGGCCCAGAGGGTCTGTGAGACGGGCTGGGATGAATCTCTGGGTTATGACATAGTGTTCCACGAAGTGAGGTCATGACATAATTGGGGGGGGGGGGGGGAGGTGTAGGGGAAAAAAGGGAGGGCAGGGAAAAATCCCAAAAATCCCAAACCAAACAACCCCCTTCCCCTCATTCCTCACCCCCAAGTCTTTCACCAGCCAGACCCGGGAGGGGAGAAGGGTGTGTTCCTGGGAAGGGGATGTTAAGGCAACAGACTTCCTGACCTCACTGGCTGCCCACCTTCAACCTCTGTATCTGGGGAGCCAGGGATGGGGGGTGGGGAGGGCACGGGGGTCTAGAGGAGGGGGCTCTGCCCTCTCCTCTCAAAGTTCAGGCTTCCCCTGCCACTATCTTGGCTCAGAGAGAGGCCTGAGGATTCTAAAACTGAGAGGGAATGATCAGAGAAAAACCGTTAAGAACTATATAAATATGTATCTTAAATAGGCCTAAGAAATTAATTGTAGAGAACCTCTGATAAACAGGGCAAAAGGAGGGGAGAGGAAAGTGGCTCCTGTCCTTGGGGAATGTGGGAAGCGGGAAGGGAAAGGGGGGGGAGCGGAGAGAGGCTCCTCTCCCCAGCTCCTCCCAGGACAGCCTGGAGAGCAGGTCAGCTCCGCTGCTCACGCCGCCCCCGGTGTCAGGTGTTTGTGAGCAGGCTCCACAAGGTAGTGGTCAGTTTGTCTCAGGGGGAGTCTGTTCCCTTGGGAAGGGGCAGGGGTGGGACGGGGCCAGGCGGGCAATGAGGAAGGACAGGGAGGGGCAGGCAGTCTGGCTGGTCCTTGCCCCTTTGTCCTGGCTGCTCCTCCTACCTCCCCCGGCCTCAGCAGAGATCCCTAAACGGGCCAGGGAGTGAGCAAGGCGAGTGCCAATGTTAAACAAAAGTTAAAAGGGTGAGAGAGTAGAAAAATATTAGAATGTATAGCTGAGCCAGCCCACCCTCTTGCTGTCGCAGAGAAGCCCGTTGGGGGTTGGCCCCCGCCCGCCGCCCAGGGAGCCTATGGGTGCGCTGGGCTGTGGGTCCTGTCAGATGGTGGAGGTTTTGTCTGTCCCATCTGTGACAAGAGAGGGGGGAGGAGATCAGGAGCTCGCGGGAGCCTGAGGAAAGGCCCTCTTCGTAGCTTGTCCTCCCAGTCAGGGCCCCCCTGGAGTCAGGCCTCCCTTGGGAACCCCTCAGGATAACTGGAGTCGCTCAGTGCAGAGGTGGAGACGCTGGGTAGGTGGGAGCTGGGTCAGGGAAAGAGGAAATGCTCACCACCCAAGGCGTGTTCTGTCATGCTCAGACACAGAGACTCCAGAGTGGGATTGATCTCCAGGTCAGGCCCAGGGACCGGGCAGTCTGGGTGGGAGAGAGGAAAATGGAGGTGGTGAGGACTTCCTGGGGTGAGGAGGACAGGAGGGAGACAAAGGCGGCCAGTTGGTACAGGGTGGAGAGACGAGGCCACGGAAACAGCAGCACGCAACACACACACACACACACACACACACACACACACACTTGGATGGAAGATGTGGCTGGGCAGAGGTGGAGGACAGAGGCAGGTGGGAGAGAAGAAGGCAGGGGCAGAGGCATGGCAATGCAGAAAAAGCTGGACCTGGGACAGAGGAAGTGTTGTGGAGCTGAGCTCTCTGGGTCTACTCTGCACATGGACGGCGCATTGTGCTGGCCTCTGGCACGTGCCCAACACTGGCAGCTCCGTGCTCCCTGACTGATGATGCACTCTCTCCTTGGTACACAAGCTACATTAAAGCCCTCCCTGTTTCTGCTTGGGCTTGCTCCTCTGGGCTGGCTGTGACTGGCCACAAGGCTGGTCCTCAAACACTGCTCTGCAAGCTGCTGGCATCTGGCAAACCGCCCAGACCTGACCCCTCCCTCACACTGGTTAAAGCCCTCCCGCCACGCTTCACTACCACTGGGAGGAGGTCAGAGCTACTGACCGTGGTGCAGATGCCCCTCCGCGCCTATCCCAGCCTCACCTTCCATCACTGGCCCACAGGAGCCACACATCCGACCACCTGTCTCTCCTCAAAACAGGTTTTGAACTTGGGCAAGTCCAGTCTCTGCCGCAGACTGGTGACTGACAAGTCTCAATGCCCTCCCACTGCAGTCAGGACGATTCAATCTGATGGTACACAGCTTGGTACGTGCATGCTGATAAGAATGGGTCTTATTTTTGGCTCCCATGGTTCAACCACTGGCTCCTTTGACATTATTTAAAGATACCTACTGTATACCTCACACTGTATTAGGATGAACACAATGGATGGCAGCTCACAGCATCTCATAAAAATTAAGAATCCCCATGGATGTGGTGGTCTGTGACGCACACAGCTCAGGGTCACCCGTGATCTAAGAGCTCTAGCCGCAGGGGCCGGTGGTGGACCTCTCTCTCATGTCCCTTTTGCCTCTAGCCGCAGGGGCCGGTGGCGGACCTCTCTCTCATGTCCCTCTGGCCTGTTCTGCCCTTGTCCTCTCCCTGTTCCCAAGTCAGTCTGCGAGCAGAGGGAAAACACCCTGTAGTGTAGAGCTTATCTACAGTGAAGTCCACCAGGGCCTGTGCAGGTACCTGGGCTTGGACAGAACGCTGGTGGCTGCTGGAACCTTTCTGTCCCTGCAAAACCTTCCAAACTGAGACTTTAATGATCCTATGAAGAGATGGGGATAGAGACCAGCACAGACAGTAAGATTACAACATTGGGGAAAGAAGTGGAGACAGGAAAAGAGATGAGACACACACATACCCTCCTCCCCTCCCTGGTTAAGATAAAATGGAAAAATAAAAGGTCCTCCCAGAGTGGCAGAAAGCATGGAGAAATGTCCTCAGGTAGTCACAAAGGGACAGGAGCCTTGAGACCCAGGAGGAGAGGAGGGCCAGGTTTGTGCGCTACTGGGGCAGCCTCCCAAGGCTGGGGCGCCTCACCTGGAGGGAACATGAGAATGGCCTGGGGCGACGAGTGGACCGGGAGCGAGTGGGTGCGCTGCACAGAGCTACGGCTCTGGCTGGGCATGCTGTTGCTGCCTCCAGGGTTGGCAAACCACAGGTTCTGCACAAGGAGAGAAAGGAGGAGTGAGCAGGCCCAGGAGTGGTAGAGCTGGCAAAGGAGCCCCTTCCTCCAAGTAGGGTCCAAACACAGAGATACAACACACCTCCCAGCACTGCCTCCTTAACCCCAGGAGCACTAAGGCCTCTGCTTCCAGCTGGCTCACCTGTCGGCCCTGGCCCCCAAGGCTGGGGCTGGTAAGGGCGTGTCGAGGGGAGACGCCCGCAATGCCCGAGGGGCTCAGGAGGCCCATCCTGCCAGGTGGGAGGGCCCGGGGAGGCATTGGGAACTGGCGCTGGGTCCGCCGGGCCACTCCCATCCCCACAGAACCAGCTATGGGGAGTGAGTTGGAGCCGAACGCCCAGCTGTGAGAGAGCAGAAGGCAGAGTGTTAGTTTAGATGGAGGGGACCATGTGTCCACCCGTTCCTCGCTTCATCCCCAACCCCAATAGGTAGGACAAAACCTGATGTGGCTGAGGAAGGAGTCCCTGCATCACACATGCTGTCTCCTCCCACCCCAAGGGTCCCCAAGGGCAGACATGATGAGGATACAAATGTTCCCTCAGTGGCCACTCAAAGCAGTTCTCCTGACTCCATTCCTGAGACAGGGAGGTGCTTCTGTTAACTTTGTTGGGAACTGGAAGGTGGCCAAGCAAAGGGGCCTGCCCTCGGGGCACGCGCCGGGTCTAGCAGCTCAGCCTCCTGCACTACTGGGAGGAGCATCCCGAATTCTCTCCTGGAAGGGAGCTCTTCACTGGTGCAATCCCAGCCCGGAACAGTGACCTCCCAGCTGCAGGCCCGGGGAGGCCGCCGCCCACCCTTTCTGCTGCCGGTAGTTCTGCATTTCCAGCGCGGCCTTGCGCGGGAACGTCCGGAGGAGCTTCAGCACTTGCTGTTTCCAGGATAGCAGCCGCTTCTTCTGTGTCTCTGTGAAAGCCTGGGGACGGGGTAGGGGAGGTGTCAGTGAAGCAGGAAGGGAGAGCTTCTTCCACTCCTCTGCTCCAACACTTATGGCTGGCCTGCTCCATGCCAGGCAACGCTGGCATGCGGAATTCGGCTGTGCTCACGGTTGGGGACAGCCATGCATACTGTGGCTGTGATAAGATGTCACCCGTGAGGAAGAACAGCAGGCACCAGAAATCTGCATACCCAGGTGGGGTTGGTGAGGGTATCCCTGAGGTATATTATTCTTCTTATTTAAGATTTATTTGGGGCCGGTGCTGTAACACAGCAGGTAAAGCTGCCGCCTGCATGCAGTACTGGCATCCCATGGGTGCCAGTTCGAGACCCAGCTGCTCCACTTCCGATCCAGTTGTCTGCTGTGGCCTGGGAAAGCAGTAGAAGATGGCCCAAGTCCTTGGGCTCCTGAACCCGTGTGGGAACACCTGGAAGAAGCTCCTGGCTCCTGGCTTCGGATTGGGGCAGCTCCGGCCGTTGCGGTCAATTGGGGATTGAACCAGCTAATCAAGACCTCTCTCTCTGCCTCTCCTTCTCTCTGTGTGTAACTCTTTCACATAAATAAATAAATCTTTAAAAAGAGACACACACAGAGAGCTCTTTCTGCAGGTTCATTCCCTAAATGGTTGCAATAACCAGGGCTGGGTGAGGTCAAAGCCAGGAGCCAAGAACTCCATATGGGTATAGATACAAATGTCTGAGACCGGAGGGCTAAGTAGGAAGCAGGGGGACTATTCCTGAGAGACAGAAAATTTACAAAGGCTCTGGGAAGAAGCCTCTGAACCCAACTCTGGTGAGAAGACAGCTGGAAAGGTGGGTGCCGGGCCAGGCAGGGTGCTGTTGGTCCTGAGAGTGATGGGACAGCCTTTCCCTTCTTGGGAGCCCAGCAGAAGCCACACCTCATGAGTCAGGCACTTTTCGATGAGCTGGAGGTAACTGGTGATGTTCTCCTCGTCTGGTCGGGACACCAGCAGCTGGGTGCACACTGGGGGATGGGGAAAGGGCAGGGGTTAGCCAGTATGCCATCTGCCACGCTGTGGCTGGCTGGTACAGCACAGACAGGAGCCTCAGGCTGGATGAGAACCAACAATGTGCTGGTACAGTACTCGGTCATGGAGATGTGGTCAGCACATGCTACAATGCTTTGCACACGGTAGACTTGAAGTCAGTAATACCTTTGTCATTCTAACTCTTAAAACAATCTTGTCAGTGTCAGCTTTCTTAGCCTGAGCAAACTCTAAGCCTCAGAGAGGTCAAACAGCTAAAAGGATCTAGACCCACATGTGAAGTCTGCTGCGCTGTGCTACTTTATGAAAGGCTGGACCCATCACGAACTTCACCAGACCCTTAACTTGGACTTCAGTCCTGTCCATGAGACAATGTCCAGCTGTCACCAACACGCTGTCTTATCTGCGCAGCTGGGCATCTACGAGGGAATGGGCTGTCACCCTCAGCATCAGCCCATGCAAGCCCAAGGGCAGGATCCTCGTCACCCTCATTCTTGGCTACTCTCTACAGCTCTTTGGTCTTCAAGGGCTTTACAAGGCCTGCTCCCACTGTCTAACATGGACTTGGCCCCTGATGCCTGACTCACGGAGCTTTCTGCCTCAAGATTCCTGCTAGGCCCCAGGTAGTCTCACCTTTGCCCATGACCCGTGTAAACTGGCTGGGGATGTCTCCGTCGGCAACGGGAGCTGGGGCTGGCTCACTGCCATCAGTGGGAGCCGGAGCTGGTGGAGGGGGATAGTTCTCCGCAGCTGGAGGGTCCTTGGCCTCGGTGCCCTTGTCTGTGCTGGAATGGGCTGGGGGAGGCTCAGCACCAGGCAGCTCCCCCCGGCCCCCATCCTTGGCAGCAGGGGTGGCAGCGGCAGCTGCTACAGTGGCCTGGAGGACGCTGTAGGCTTTGATGGGGGTGATGATGATCTGCTGCAGCTCCTGCAGGGCGTTTCGCAGATTCCCACCTTCCAGCACATCCTGGGGGTGGTGAGGGGGTGTGTAGCTCAGGGCCACAGGCAGACCTCGTGGCAAGGCACAGAGAAGGTCTACACACATGAGGCCACAAAGGGTTTGCAGAGGCCTGGGTGGGGCCCCTTAGGGTTCTGGCACATAGAGAGGGCAGGTGAGGGCACTGCAAGCCCATGCATTGTCAGGCATACACTGCGCGCGTGCGCACACACACACACACACACACACTCCTCTTTCCTCTTCAAGGTGAAGGCCCGGAGACTCAGGCCAAGACGCTGAGGGGGAAGAAGAAAACTAAAGGCAAGGGGAAGGAAAAAAAATGCAAATCAAGGTAGACAGAGGAGAGTGGGTGGACAAGAAACCACCAAAAGTAGAGATCGTGCACAGAGGGACGCTGCTCTGCCAGACTGAGTGACACAGGAACCACAAACCAAGAGGGACAAGGAGGGGAGCCCTTGTGCCAACTTGCATGTGATCCCTGGAGGCTGGCTCCCTAGGGCTCAGGCGGCTGAAGATCAGGCCTGAGGGCTGGGGAGGCCCAGACGGGAGGTTGTCTGGGCAGCTGGCAGCAAGGCCAATCAGCAGCCGTTGGTATACAGGTATCACTGGATGGCTGGGTGCCCTTGGAGACCAGGACACCAGGTCCTCACCTTCTCCAGGGACTTGAGGACGCTCTGCCTCTCGCGCAGCTTCTGGATGCTCAGGGCTATCTTGTGGCGGGCACCTTTGGTGACGTTCTGTAGTAAGGGCAGAAGGGGACAGGATGTTGAAAATGGGAGGCTGAGGTACTTGGCAGTGTCCCCATAGGGGCCAAAGCAAGAAGTGGCTCCGGCTGCAAAGGTACTGCCAAAGTGCTGCTGCCTGGACACCCCCATGGTTCCTTGGCTTCACCTGAGACTCCAGGTGCTGCTCAGTCAGTGTCATCATCTCCTCATAGCTCATCTGTGAGAAGAGGGCCGCATACTTGTGCAAGCGGAGGCTTTTGAGCCACGAGGGCACATCTAAGAAAAAAGAGGGAGGGCGAAGGTCAGGAGCTCGGCCCTGGTGACCAGGACAGAAGGAAGCTTGTGGGCAAGGACCAGGCAAAAACCACAGGCAGTCTTTAAAGCTGCAGAGAACTGACAGTGGGTGGGGAAAAGCCGAGTGCACAGGCTACTTCTCTGTCTGCCCAGCCCCCAGGGCACCAGACTCCCTGATGTGCTCAGCTGCATGTGTGCGAGGCCAACCCCACCAGTCTCCCTAGAGACTTCTGGAAACTGTTTCCCATCGTCTGGGCCCCAGCTCCCCTGTCAGACTGGGTGTGTGAGGGCAGGGGCTCCTCCCCATCAGACCAGTGCCTGCGACTGCATGTGAGGCATCCGCTCCTTAGTGGGGTAGGGAGGTGGCGGCTAAGCTTTCTGTCCTCAAACCCCTGGAGAAGAGTCCTGGTGTCGCCCTCCCTGTGGTACCTTTCATGCCGCTGCCGTCCTCCTGGAACGTGTTCCGGCTGGAGCCCTGCTCCTCTGTCTGCTCACTGCCAGAGGAGGCCACGCTGCTCTGGGGCGAGAGGGGTGCGTGGTCGGGTGTGGTGAAAGCAGCCCGGGCCCCGAGCTCCTCTGGACTCGGCCACTCACCAGGGGCCTGGGGGCTCGTAGGGATGAGCGACATGGAGCGCTTCAGCGGGCTAGGGTGGATTTGGCAGGGGAGACCTAACCAAGGCGGAAAGAAGCAAGAAGTCAGGCTTGGGGATCTGACCACAGGAAACCACACCCACTGGTCAGTGCCGTGATGACAGCTCAGCCCCATAATCCTCCCAAAGGAAGGGACGCTGGGGTCCGAGAAAAACTGCCCACCAGATACTACTCATTCACTCACCCCCAACACCCAACATGTTCCCGAGCTGGCTGGCTGCCCCTCTGAACTGCCACACTTCCGCTGCTGGCACCCTGCTCCAAGTGTGCATCCCTTGAGGGAATTACTGCCACAGCCCCTCACTGGTTTCTTGCCCTGGTTCTTGCCTCCTACAGTCTACTGCCCTCATAGCAGCTACACTGATCTTTCTAAAAACACAAATCTGACCAAGCTGGGCCCCTGCTTAAAACTCTGTGGCTTCCTCTCATGCTGAGAACAAAAATCGAACTCTCCTACGTGCTTAAAAAAAGGTCAGGCAAGCGCTGGTCCTTGCCCATCTCTGACCTCTCATCTCCCACAATGTACCTCAAACTCCATCTGCTCCCAGAATACTTAAGCTTGGTCCAATCTCGGGACTTCTGACCTTGATCTTTCTTGTCCTCCTGATCTCAGCTGTTCACTCTCTTCAAGTCTCCTGAGGCCAACCCTCAACCCTCGATCTGAAGTCACCATGTCCCCTCCCCAACACCCAGGTTGTTCTATCACATTAGTCTGTCTCACCTTTCTTACACTCACCACAACCTCCAATTCTTTTATCGACTAATATTTCTTTACTTGATTACGAACTGTTCCCCTGCAATAGCCCAAGATCCATGACAACAGGGCCCCATCCTGTCTTAAACATCACAGTATTCTTAGCAATTACAGTGGGGCCTGGCCCAAAAGGAGTTGCTTCAGTAGTTCACGAAAGAAGCACAAGAACCGCGCCCTCAACACCAGCCTCACTACTCCTCTTTTTTTCTGTACTGAGACCAGACTGGCTCCCGTGAGACCCTGTGGCTCAGGGTGAAGGCAGGCCCTGTTCTACAGGAAGTTTCACACTCCCTGTACATTGCATTTCTGAGGCAGGCCTGAGGGCAGAGGGACCCAACCTCACACTTAACCACTCCCACAAGTCCCCAAACCTCTAAATGCACCATTCTCTCTGTCCAGCTCCCCGTTCTCCCATCCCTCTCTGCAGCTACTTCTGCCTTCATGCCCCACTCAGCTGTCTCCTCTCTTGCTGCGAGTCCAGTGCTCGCTGCCCTCCTCATTAGTCTGCCTGTTGCACTGGACTGTGGGCTCTGGAGGATGTCCCTCCCAGTCAACCATTTCTGTATCCCCGGGATCAGACACAGGGCATGACACACAGGAGCCCTCCAACCAAGTTTCACAAAGAACAAAATGGTGCTAAGGGGACCTCTGAGCCTACAGAAAGGGACAAGGAATCAAAACCAGAAGGCCTCACCCCGGCTGGTGAGGACATCAAGGCCCAGGGAGCTGAAGTCCTTTGCCCCAGTTCCTTGAGAGCGCCCCGGCCTGGTTTCTGATAGAAAGGCTGGGACTCCTGCCAGAGCTCCACTGACATCGGCCAAGGAAGGAGGACCACCCCAGTGCCGGCTCCAAAGCAACTTCCATCCTGTGACGATACTGATGCTCGTGGCCAAGAAGGCACCCAAGGGAGAAGGTAGTGCTCTGGCCCACCCCAAGACCAGACTCTGCCTCTGCCAAAGACCTCTAGGGCCCTCTCTTCAGGGCTCCTTCCAAGCCTCTCTGGACTCCCTTAGCCCTGGCTGCTGTTTCTGCTCAGGACTCCTGGAGAAAGATGGCAGCCTCTGAGGCTGCAGGCCAGCAACCCTCAATGCAGGCCTTCTTTCTCAGCCAAGAAGGGGGCAGGCAAGGCTGAGAGGGCAGGAAATTACCCTGACTGGAATGATCGTGCAGTTCCTGAGGAGTCTGCTTGGTCCTGCTCTGGGGTGGAGGCTGGCCACTGCCCGAGAATTAAAAAGACAGGAATGCCGGCCTGAGATCCAGGGCCTCACACTCTCCAAGAAACCCTGGTCTGTCCTTGGCAGCACCCCAAACCCACACTGCCCGCCCTCCCAGGCCAATCCTTGCTCCCCTCTCAAAAATATTTCAATGGTTTCCTGTTTCCTGCAACTACACAAAATCCAAAAGCCTCGTCCTATCCTTCAAGGCACCCCCACCCTACCCCCACAGCAGTCCTAATAACTGAAGTCTGAGAGTCAGAACTGAGTCCTGAGTTCAAATCCTGACTCTGACACCCTGAACCCCATGATCTTGGGCAAGTCACTTCATCTGCCCACTGCCTCCATTTCTACATAAAGCCCTTAGTAGAGGGGATAGGCACACGCTAAAGCATGAGTATCTGCTGCCGCAACTTCTCATTTAAACCATTGTATTACTCTTTTAAATCCATCCCAGCCAGACCCATCTGTACACTGTGCCCTCCGTAATTTGCCACCCCTGTGCCCTCTCTACATGGAGCGCACAATTGCTTTTGCAGTCCAAACCCCTCTTGAACATTCTCAAGCTTGGACTTTCAACAGCTTCTGGGGTCCAATCATGGTGAGCCCAGGAGGTGCAGAGAGAAAGAAATTTAGGGGCATGCTGCGTGGGTGATGCTGAGCATGTCTGGGTCACTTTAGGTGGAGGCAAGGGCACAGTAGTAAAGAACAGGAGCGCCAGAGTCAGACTGCCTGGGTTCATGTGACTTTGGAGTTAAAAGGTGCATCATGAGAAAACTAAGCAGGGATTTCAAAATCTTTTGCACCAAAAAACTTTATCTTTCGATTCCATTTTTCAATGAACATTCTGAAGTCTCCCTATAAAGTTCTCAGGACAGCTGTTAACAATGACCAAGTGCTCAATGTATTTTTTTTGCTAGAACTACTGTTGAGTATGTCCTCTCAGCCTGGACCCAGGAACTGTGAGGCTCAAAGGCTGGAAAACGAGAGCCAAGACACTGCAGGCTCCTGGAAATGCATTCCTGTAGCCTCTGTCTTCCCAGGTTCTCATTGGCACATTAACTGGGCAAGAATCAGGCCCGGGGGGAACTGCTGTGCACCAGGCACCAGGCACCAGGCACCAGAGGCGCAGGCTTCCTGCCATCTGCTGGCACACATGACCATGCAAAGCCACTCTCTCCTGGCCTGCTTTAACCAGTGCCTGCCAAAGAGAGCTGACCCGTCCAGGAACCCCTCACCTTGATCAGGTCATGCTACCTCACCATGACTTGGAAAAGCTATCCTCTCTTATCTTGTTCAACTAACATTTCAAAATGTTACTGGGATACCAACCGCTCACCTTGGCTGCCAGGACTTTTATTAAGAGAGCCCTTTCAAACTGTTAGTTGGCAGGATGGGACAGCAGTCAGAGTCAGGCTCTGGCCTCAGAATGCCTGGACCTGAACCTTGGTCAATTTCATCTCTTGCTCTATGTGTGATTTTGAATACACTTACATGACTACCTCTTTGAGTCCCAGTGTTCTTGACTGTTAACTAGAGCTAGTGATAGGTGACTGTGATAAGGATTACACGAGATGGTATCTGAAAAAGTGAGAGAAAAGAGCACCTAGCAGGGCTAGTGCTATGGTGTAGCAGGTAAAGCCATCACCTGCAGTGCCAGCATCCTATATGGGCGCTGGTTCAAGTCCCGGCTACTCCACTTCCGATCCAGCTCTCTGCTATGGCCTAGGAAAGCAGTAGAGGACGGCCCAAGCCCTTGGGCCTCTGCACCCATGTGGGAGACCCTGGCTCCTGGCTGCAGATTGGCATAGCTCTGGCCGTTGTGGCCAATTGGGGAGTGAACCAGTGGATGGAAGATTTCTCTCTCTCTGCCTTTCCTTCTCTTTCAAATAAATAAATAAATCTAAAAAAAAAAAAAAAAAAAGCACCTAGCACAGTCAATGCACAACAGTGTTACCTCTTATTACCAATGCTTCACAGCAGACATCTTACACAGCAGTTTACAGAGTGCTCCAAAGCAAGGCTGTAAGCTGAGGCCAGATGAAAGTCCAGCATGTCTAAACTGGAAGGGACCTCAGAGGATGGTGTCCAGCCCTCCATTAGGGGTCATAAACTCAGCGCCCTCAGAAGCGGGTGGGGGCAGAGGCAAACTGGAACACATGTGCAGAGCTTAAAGGGCTGGCTGAAGTCAGCTCCATCTTATTGGCTGACATCAGGAATACAGGCCTTGAGTTGCCAAATCTTTGACTTATTAAAAACAGCTGGGAATCTTACTTTTAGGGGGAAGCCCTGATTCCTTATATGACCAAAATTATTTAAAAACACAAGATAACCAAAGGGTGGGAGCAATAAGACCCAATAGGTAAGACAGCTTTGGGATCACCTGTTCACAGGCTCTACACTGCCTCACAAAGCTGAGGCCCAGATGTCATGGGCCTTACCCAAGCCCACAGAGAAATCAAGACAGGGCCCAGGCTGACCTTGTTCAAGTAGGCACGGCCTCCTGGGACTGCCCTTCCTCCTCACCTGTGTTTGCGTTGCTCCCAATACTGCTGATGGCTGGCGGCACTGAGCTGGATGGGTGGAAGGGCACGTGTCCATTTTCCCGGGGTGGCTTTTCCTGCCAGCCTTGCCCTGCCTCTCCAGGGCCCAGCTCTGCAGGGCCCCCCCACTCATCAGAGCCCTGGCGCGAGTGGTAGGAGGGCTCTGGTCGGGTGCGGAAGCTGCTAGCCAGCCGCTCTTCCAGGTGGCTCAGCCAGAGGGCTAGTGCGTTGCGGTCCTCCAGGGTGGTGGCTGGATGGATGAGGGCGTAGGAGAGCAGCTGGCGGCTCTCCTCGATGAAGGCATTGCTCTCAATTGAGTAGGCCAGCACTTTCTGCAGGAGCCTCATATACTCCGACTTGGCCTCTGTGTTGCCCGGCTGAAGCAGTGGCAGGTGGGACAGCAGGAGGGACACCACCTTCTCTTTGGACTCCTGTTGCCACTGGCTGACGATAGCTACAGAGGGGATAAGAGGGAATGTTAGGAGAGCCGGGGTGCGATATGCACATCAACCTAAGAGCTGCCAATGATCTATGCAGTTCCAACTCCTCTCTCTTCTACAATCCTGACTCCTGGCCTTCGTAGAGAACTCAAACACACTCCCTATGTTTCTGGGAGTAAGTTTTCCTAGTTCTAACAATCCTGTTCTCAAAAGGCTGCAGTAACTCCCCATCAGCCAAACTTGCTACACTGAAATCTGAGCTCTTGGGGCCAGTGTTGTGCCATAACTGGGTAAAATCGACACCTGTAATACTGGCATCCCATATAGGCATTAGTTTGTGTCCTGGCTACTCCACTTCTGATCCAGATCTCTGCTAATGTGCCTGGGAAAGCAGCGAAGGATGGTCCAAGTACTTGAGTCCCTGTACCCAAGTAGGAGACCTGGAAGAAGCTCCTGGCTTCAACCCAGCCCAGCCCTGGTCATTGCAGCCACTTGGGTAGTGAACCAGTGGATGGAAGATCTGTCTCTCCTCTTTCTTTGTTACTCTGCCTTTCAAATAAAAACAAGGAAGGAAGGGAGGGAGGGAGGGAAGGAGAGAGGGAAAGAGGAAGAGAGGGGAGAGGAGAGGGAGAGAGGGAGAGAGGGAGAGAGAGAGGGAGGGAGGGAGGGGGGGGGAGAAAATCTGAGCCCTGATGCTGCCCCAGGCCTGCCCTTGCTGTGTACCCACTCCCCTTTACTTTCATGGCCTCACCCCCACCCAGTCCCTATCCAAGGAGACTCCTCCTGGACTGGGGAGCACTGATGCCTTTATCTGCAAAAGTTGGGAGATATTTAGGACCTAATAAATGTTTGCTGTTGTTTTTAACCAGTCTCTCTGTCTTTAGATTCTCTCCCTTCAAGCTGCCTGGTATATCCAAATGGACTAATCTTCCTAAATTACACTAGGATGTCATATTTCTTTAAAAAATATTTATTTTATTTATTTGAAAGGTAAAATTATAGAGAGGGAGGGAGACACACAGAGAAATCATCCATATGCTGGTTCACTCCCCAAATGGTCATAATGGCCAGGGCTGGGCCAAGCCGAAACCAGGAGCCTGGAGCTTCTTCCAGATCTCCCACGTGGGTGCAGGGGCGAGCCATCTTCTGCTGCTTTCCCAGGCACATTATTAGGGAGCTGGATCAAAGTGGAGCAGCTGGGACACAAACTGGTGCCCATATGGGATGCCAGTGGTGCAGATAGAGGCGTAACCCACTACGCCACAAAGCCAGCCCCAGGATGGCATATTTCTGATCAGGCGTTATAATGGCAACTAGCTCTGACAGACCCAAGTCCAAGAACTCTTAGGTTAACATCATCTTCATTTCCAGAGAACACCCCATCTCTAATTCCTCCAGATAAAGACTCAACTCAGGATCCTCCCACCTTCCCAGGGGCTCTCTCCCCACTACCTTTATCCAGGCCTCCACAACCTCTTTCCCCCATCCAAGTTCTTTTTTTTTCTTGGACAGGCAGAGTGGACAGTGAGAGAGAGAGACAGAGAGGAAGATCTTCCTTTTTGCCGTTGGTTTACCCTCCAATGGCCGCCACGGCTGGCGCGCTATGGCCGGCGCACCGCGCTGATCCGATGGCAGGAGCCAGGTACTTCTCCTGGTCTCCCCATGGGGTGCAGGGCCCAAGCACCTGGGCCATCCTCCACTGCACTCCCTGGCCACAGCAGAGAGCTGGCCTGGAAGAGGGGCAACCAGGACAGAATCCGGCACCCCGACAGGGACTAGAACCCGGTGTGCTGGCGCCGCAAGGCGGAGGATTAGCCTAGTGAGCTGCAGCGCCGGCCGTCCACCCAAGTTCTAGGGCTTTCAGAGACTGCATAACCCTGCCCTTCTCCAGGAAGCCTCCCTGACTACACATGCTACGGCGATCTGCTTGACTTCTCACCATCTGAGGGCCCGAGTCCATCCTGTGGAGGTGAGCAAGACTTACCCTCTCAGCCCAGAAGAAGGTCTGCAAGAATAAGGCCCCAGGCTAGCCACAGAAAGGAGACCCTGGGAAGGAACTGTATTAAGTCTGACTGTTCCCCTCAAAAGCCTGTCAGCCCTTGTGGCTAACTAAATGGGGTGGAACATGGAGAAAACACAGACAAGGCAGAAGAGAGGGACAAGAAGCAGCAGTGCCGGAGAACCAAGACAATAATCAAGGACGGGGGTCAACCTGGCCCTCACTCTTGGGCAACTGAGCTCACAAGTGCAGCCCGGGCTGATGATTCCCAAAACCTCACAATGAGAATTCTCCGAAGTGTGCTACTGGAGAGGTCCTGGAAGCGGGGAAGAGCCTTGCTAACCACACAAACCCAAGGCCACACATGGGTGAGTGATGACAAAGCATGGGCAGAGATATGGCTGTAGGCCTTCTCTACTCCCTGTTGACCACGTGACCCTGAGCCAATGCGACACTTCATTGAGCTCTGCTTATTCTACCTGTAAACTGGAGCTCAGGACCACAACGAACTTGGTGAGACCATTGCATAAAATAAGCCCTCAGTAAACATTAGCTATTTTTACTGGTATCATGGTTATTTTCTCTAACTGTGGTTCCCTTCTTTCAAATATGCACAAGAATTCCAAAGGCACAAGCCAACCTTCTTTGTTTGGGAAACAGACAGGGAACAGACATATACAAGACAGTGTCAGAAGTCTAGGCATCTGCCGGCGCCGTGGATCACTAGGCTAATCCTCTGCCTTGCGGCACTGGCACACCGGGTTCTAGTCCCGGTCGGGGCGCCGGATTCTGTCCAGGTTGCCCCTCTTCCAGGCCAGCTCTCTGCTGTGGCCAGGGAGTGCAGTGGAGAATGGCCCAAGTGCTTGGGCCCTGCACCCCATGGGAGACCAGGATAAGTACCTGGCTCCTGCCATCGGATCAGCGCGGTGCGCCGGCCGCAGCACGCTGGCCGCGCCGGCCATTGGAGGGTGAACCAACGGCAAAGGAAGACCTTTCTCTCTGTCTCTCTCTCACTGTCTACTCTGCCTGTCAAAAAAAAGGCCAAAAAAAAAAAAAGTCTAGGCATCTGAGGGGTCTTTCAATTCAAGTTTCTTTAGTCTTTAATATTTCCAGGATCTCTGCGCTTTGCCCAACCGTAGATGGACAGACACCTGGCTACTTGCATAAAACTTAGAAAATGTCCCCTCCCCCTCCCCAAAAAAAGGTTGGGGCTCGCCCTGTGGCATAGCAGATAAAGCTGCCACCTGCAGTGCCAGCATCCCATATAGGCACCAGTTCGAGTCCTGGTTGCTCCACTTCTGATCCAGCTCCCTGCTGAGGTGCCTAGGAAAGTAGCAAAGGATGGCCCAAGTCCTTAGGCTTCTGCACCCACTTGGGAGACCTGGAAGAAGCTCCAGGCTCCTGGCTTTGGATCAGCCCAGCTCCGGCCTTGCAGCCATTTGGGGAGTGAATCAGCAGATGGAAGACCTCTCTCTCCCTCTGCCTCTTTGTAACTGCCTTTCAAATAAATAAATAAATAAATAAATAAAACCACCAAAAAAGTTTTTTTTTAATTTAAAAGGCAGAGTTAGTTACAGAAGAGAGAGAGAGAGAGAGAGAGAGAATATTAATCTCCCATCTACTGGCTTATTCCTTTTAAATGGCCGCAACAGTCGGGACTAAGCCAGGATGACCCCTGGAGTCTGGAACCCATCTGGGTCTCCCATGTGGGTGGCAGGGGCCTAAGCACTTGGGGCCATCTCCCACTACTTTCCCAGGCACATTAGCAGGTAGTTGGATAAGCAGAGTTTCTGGGACTCAAACCGGCACTCCTATGGGACACCAGCATCACAGGAGGTGACTTAATCCACTATGCCACAACACCAGCTCCAGAAAATGTCCTTTCTGTACCCCTCTTTCTCTTAATGACCTGCTTAGAAAATGGCTTAAGTTGCCACCTGGGAAGCCCACATCCCATATTGGAGTGCCTGGTTTGAGTTCCAGCTACTCCACTTTAGATTCAGTTTCCTGCTGACGTGTACCCTGGGAGGCAAAGGATAATGGTTCAGGTACCTGAGTCCCTGTCACTCCTGTGGGAAATCTGGTTTGGAGTTCTAAGTCCTGGTTTCAGCCTGGCCTAGCCCTAGCTGTAGTGGGTATCTAGAGAGTGAGCTAGCAGATGGAAGATTTCTCTGCTTCTCTCCCTCCCCGCTTAATATAAAATAGGGGGGAAGGGGCAGAGAGAAACAGAAAGTACAATATATCTTTTTTTTTTTTTTAATTTGACTGATAGAGTTACAGACAGTGAGAGAGAGAGAGAGAGAAAAGTCTTCCTTCCGTTGGTTCACCCCCCAAATGGCCTCCACGGCTGGCGCTGCGCTGCCCCAAAGCCGGGAGCCAAGGTGCTTCCTCCAGGTCTGCCATGCAGGTTCAGGGGCCCAAGCACTTGGGCCATCCTCCACTGCCCTCCCAGGCCACAGCAGAGAGCTGGAGTGGAAGAAGAGTAACTGGGACTAGAACCTGGCGCCCATATGGGATGCCGGCGCCACAGACGTAGGATTAACCAAGTGAGCCATGGCGCCGGCCCCACAATATATCTTTTTAAAAATTCTGCTTACATTTGTAGCTCTAAGAAAATGCATCATACAAAACTCCCGATTCCTGGCTAAGTAAACTGTTCCTGGCCTAGGCCTCACTGCTTCAAGCTTCCCAGAGAACCTCTGTTCAAGTGATGCATCCATCCATACAAATACATGTTACAGCCATGGCACCGACCAAAACGAACATGAACTAATAGAACTAGTACCACTGACAGTAGTTACAGCCAGCCTTTACTGTGCCACAGTGCCAGTCCCACTGAGTTTTTAGTCCTTGACAAGCAGTAATGAGCAGTGGAGGGCTTAATATTAGGGCCAGAGAATCAAGACCTCACATCCAGCTGTGTTCTGTGTCACACAGCTGCCTCCTATGTAAAACAGGGATTGCAAAGCTGCCAAGAAGCCTAAGGGAGAAGCCGGTGTAGAGCTCCTGACACAG